ACGACACGTTCAGCGAAGGGATCTCCTTTCAACGAACTTACTATCAAGCTGTAATAATATTATTATTATTCCATCATTATTATTGTCATTATTACTACTGTGTTAGCCATTTACTTATGTCCTATATTCTCATTCCTTTATTCATAAATACTAATCATATCACCTTTTTTATTTTTACACCTCTATGACCTTTATTTATTGTAACAAAAACATTTTATTCATCTTAATCATCTTATTATATTCACTGAATTCATTGTTATTACTCGTATTACGTAATCTAGTATTATAATCTTTCTATTATGTTATCTTGGTTATTTGTGTTCGCATTTCCTCATGGAATTAGTACTTTAACAGAACATTTTCACATATATACGATTGTACAGCTTGATAGTAAATTCGTTGAAAAAAGATCCTTTCACTGAACTTCGTGCTTTTAACCTTATTCTTAGCCCAAACCATTTTCGTTCCTTAGTTCATTCAAACAAGGCTCATACAGATAAACAGGACGGCAAAGCTCACGCGTTTGAAATTAAAAGCATAAACTGCTTATGCATGAACGCCGCGAGTTCGCAAAAACAAAATGAATGAGCTACGTGGACGTAGTAATACTAATAATGCTCATCTAACAGGAACATCTGTAACTTGGTTATCTTCTTAGTTTACGGACCAGGAGTTAGCAACAACCAGAGTGTCTTTGTTTCGCAATCACAGAAAGACAGGAATGGGGTCGGTGTAGCCTTATTCTTGAGATCTTTCTTAAGGGTATATCAGTTCCACAACTAAGAGTTTATCAGCCTTGATGAATCTGCATAGTGCTCAGTGAGATTGTCTACTACCTCCAGGTGTCTAGTTGAAGCATCTACAGGAAGCGAACTGTTGACATCGAGTACTACAACAGTATGCTGGAAGGATTATTTCGCTATGCTCATCTAGGGTTGACTCATATCCTGAATCCAGGGAACTTCAATCTTCCCAAAGTCAATTTCGCAGAACATACGTACATGGGAGGTGAAAAGTATACTGAAGATCGGTTCTTCAATCTCATTGAGGATCTGGCATTATTTGAAAATGTGAAGTCGGCAAGTTGTTGGAGAAACAGTCAGGCTTCACCACGCGTAGACTGGTTATTTACAGTAGAAGAATTCCTAATTGACAACCTCTCACTCTTGGCCCCCCTATGGAAAAGCAATCACGCCGTCATAGCCTTTAGTTTTGTTGGCAGGACTGAGCTAAGAAATCTTATCAACAACAGGAGCTGGACTTTTAACGATTAGATGTGTCAGCTTTACAGTTCAATTAACAGCTGGTGGATTAGGAAGTTCACCATCAACTTGATGTGAATGCTCATAGGGATTTCTTACTGCAAACGCTGTTATTTGCTACAAAGCAGTCAGTTCCTCAAACGGTCCCTAAAATCTACAAGCAACCTACAGTCATCAAGAACCGCACCCTTCGTTTGCTAAGCCACACGGGATACTGCGGGGCGGAATACAAACGAACTGGTGACAACGGCGTATACAGGCAATACAAAGAAATAAGGAACGTATGCAGAAAGACAATAAGAAAAGATAGGCTTCAGCACCGGATAAAGTTTATCAATAAATTTGTTTCCAATCCGAAAAGCTTATTTCGTTATGCTGCCTCTTTTCGATAAGCCATAACTGGAGTTTCTTAACTGCTAGATCCTATTGATCCGACCAACAACTACAGTGACGCCGCTAACCTTCTGGTTGAACAGTGCTCTCCGATATTTCAACCGACCAATACTAACTATATTGAAGAAAACTCGATCTGTAACTTCACAGGACGTTTAGAAGTGAACCCGAACGCTGACCTGGTGTACTGGAAACTGAAGCACTTAGGAAAAGACACTTCTCCTGCTCTGGAGTCCCTGATATGCGATGTTATATACGACTACTTATTATCCTTAAACTTCTCACCCCTACAGCACGGTTTCAAGAAAGGTCACCCTTATATAACGAACCTGCTTACCGTGGTGAGCAGGTGGACAACCATCTATGATTGCAAGGGAAAGGTCGACATCATTTGTTTTGACTTCTCAAAAGCTATTGAAAGGGTCAACCATATACGTTTTGTCAATAAGCTCAAACGATTAGGTATCAAATCACCTTTAATTGATTGACTCATTTCATATCTAAGAAGTCGACTTTTTAAGGTCAGGGTTAACTTCACTTTCCCTGAGGCTATGGAATGTCCTGGTGGATTTCCCCAGGGTTCAGTACTAGGACCTCATCCTTTCTTGATTTATATAACCGATCTTCCACATCAGGTATCGCCAGATTTGTTTTCCCTGATGTTGTGAAACTCTGGATAAAAGTACGTAACCAAGAGGATAAATTGGCACTTCAGGAGGATGTGGCTCGACTTCAAAGTTGAGTAGATGACCACGAACTCATTTTTTAACATTTCGACGTGTAAAGTAGTCCATCGGAGATATACTGCAGACTACAGCTGCAATTTAGGCAACTTCTGTCTAGAAGTATCACAAGTTGAGAAAGATTTAGAAGTACTGATGTCCTACGACCTGAAGTCATACGCTAACTGTAACAAAAATGCCTTTCGACCACACAGTGGAGCTCATATTTGGCCAGTTCGACGGAAGAACTTTCCACATAATCTTCAACCGCCTTATTCGTCCTCATTGACGGTACGGAAGCATAGTATTTCTTTCCTCACTCCAAATGGATCAGGACACTCTGAAAATTTCCAAAGGCGAGCCAAGAAATCAGTTTTGAGGCTCGAATTCAAGCCTTATGAAGAGCGCCTCCATTAGAGTACAAGCGTTTTCGAGGTTACCTAGTGGCCTACATCGTCCTGAATAATTCTAAGCATCCCCTAAAGCACCTACAAGAGTTCAGTTGCAACACAAACCTAAGGGGTAAAACCCAGGAACTGGAGACACAACACAACGGACTGTAGACACAGTTTGTACTTCTTAAGAGTAGCCAAATGCTGGAATTCGTCGCCGGCTGAGCTAGTTCAAGTGGCTCATCGGAAGTCTTTTAAGTGAAGACTTGACATATTCTTAAGCACCAAAGAAAGCATCTTACTATGGTTTGAATCAGTTATAAACAAAAGCCTGTGATACTGTGGTGATCTAATTTTTTTAGTTAGAACGAAGACTTATGGATATAAATGCCACTCAGATTGAATTTTCTAGTAGAACAACTAACAACGTTTGTGCACAATGGTTTCGTATAAGTGGTAAAGTGAAATGTAATGTAGAAAGCTGCTATGTGGAAAGGGATCCTGAGAACGAAATGAAGTCAAAAATATCGCAGCTGACTCATTTTTGAATTATTTATGAGTCTTCTGTCACATTCCATAGATACGATAACATCAAAAATCTCACTTACGTTTAACTGGACTCATAGCATTCAAGAGTGGTTAGCTAAGTATCGACTGACAACCTGCTATCGGAAGAAAAACATCAGTAGACAAATTTGAAGCTATTTAATACCCATTCTATATAGATGTCGGATACTTCATTTTCTTTATAGAGCTGTATATATCTTGAGTTTGAATAGGGTCATCTAGCTTTGCTTTATTTAAAATATCATATACTTTGCACCTAGATGACTTAAGTCTGTTTCTGATTTCATCACTGAACAACTAAATCAATGTACATATTTTACAGATCTGCCTGTCATTATTCCTAGGTTTCTAGGAGGGGCTAGTTGTACAGTGTGGTCTATGAACACGATAAAACACCGGACGATGACAATATCAGTCACAAAATGATGAGAACAAAAACTATACCCATAAACACAGTGAAAATTCTCATTCTCATACCATCCTAGCAAAGATAGAGAGTTCACAGCAGCGAAATCCAAAATAATGGATTCATACTTTCCCTATCAGTTATCACTTTGTGTCAATATAAAATTAGCATATTATTTACTGTCACAAATATGTTCTTCCTTATTCCTCGTGTTTTCTGTTCTACACTTCTGATATATTTGTGATATATCCTGTCTAGTGAGATTCAGGAATCACACCCGTTTGCGTATCTTGCTATCTTTTTTATTGTAGCTGGACAACGATGTGGATAAACCGGAACATATATGTACATCAGCATGCATTCTACTCTCATCTTCATTAGAGATGTTACTATGTTTAGCCAGAATTTCGTGATAAGTTGGTGTCTTTTCTATGTGTTACTCATATATTTCATTCCTCACACCGACTGGATATTACTAAAGTTAAACGTTGGTGCATAACAGGTTTCGAACCTTTTCTTTTCTCAGATACCACCTTTGAATTAGGATAGTTAGCCAGATCCCATCTAAAGCAATGAATACTTTCAGTTTAGAATTCTAGGTAACATTGCCGGAAATTTCTATCATATCTACGTACAATCAACAGACCAAATTGACGACTAGGTTAACAACGTTTCAACAGTATATATTGATGAAGTTGTTTACGAGGGACGTTGAGCATGTGGATTTCGAGCGAAGCAGGAGCTTCGTCATTATCTGTTTACACACTATTCCTTCGAATTTTCCAACTAATTATAATACATACCTTTCTGGAATTTATTTTAAAGTAGATATATTAGACAATTTAGTTTCATTGGGATGGGGTGTCATAGCATGTTGCAGGAGCAGCAACTATATTGTCTCGGTTCACATTACAGGAGGATCGAGATTAGTATTTTAGCAGTTTTGTTTCCATGTCAAATAGGGTTGGCCGTAAGCAACATTTCAGTAAAAGGATCGCTTGTCTGTTCGTCGATGATGATTAAAACTACCAAATACTGCTCTTCGTTATTCGTCACAAGTGTCCCATGGAAAGTCTAGTAAGACAGAAACTGGTAGTTCTTACTAAGTTATAAAGGAGAGTTTGGAGAATTCAGACAAACCGAATTCGACCAAATGTCTCAGTTTTGTCTCTCTGTTGACTAATTATGTTAATTATCTCCTTACGGGATAGATGTTTTTGAATTAAGTTGCTAACGTCCCCCATAAAATCTAAATCATGCTCGTTTTTGTTTAGCCTGTCACAAAATCAAGAAGCAATTTGTGCTATAATTGTGTGATGTTTTCTGATCAACAGTATTTACTTCGAGTGTTTTTTGCGGTTAACTAACTTTAAACAAGGCGGAACGTCCGTAGATTGCGTTACTATGGGGCTTATGCGTTTATTGCCAATCTTCGTGGTCCTGCTTCTTTTGTATGGTGAGTATTGTATTAGATTCTGTGTGTTTGTGCCAGAGAATAAGGTACTTATTCAGAAGTTTCCATATTGCAGTACATTATTCTGGTCGATCAAAATAATTCCACTTTTTACTTAACCACTAGAGGTAGATCTATGACATTATCGAGAAATTTTGCATAAAAAGCTGTGTGAAAACAAAAATCAATCTTGTTCCAAATCATTTTCATGAGACTTTGTTGGTAAATTCACTCATATGTTGAAGGATGTGGAGTGCATTCTCTGTATACGAACATCTAGGGATGCCTGAACTGGCGATATCTCTCAATGTAGACACATAGCAAAAAGCGTGAACGGTTTTCAAAGCGTTAGTTGGTTTCAAAGTACCTTTAAATTCATGTGTGTTAATGATGTTTGAAACTCATATATCCCTGGTCTGACAGTATTTCGCCTAAGCGATTATCTTTCCTGTAAACCATATCTTCGGGTTAGTATTTTATCCAAAGAAATTCATGAAAACTGTTCCGTTTTTTTGGTGCCTTTAGGATCCGCTCCTAACCCCACGATCATCAATAGTTCCTCAGTTGTCATAATGTTTCGTAGTTTAAAGCAAACAAACTGACGAAACCTCTGCAGATTGAGAAACTTCGGTTGGCTTTCGCCAACTTGCGTCAATTATGTCGTAAGCGAGATACTCCTGTACCAAACTAAGACATGCCAGTTCGTAAACCACTTCTTTAGCCATATAGGAGGATACAAGCTACCTGGTTTGAGTTCGCATGATTATCGTAATCAATTGTTGGAGGTTTCCGGTGACATGGGTCCAAATCGTGAGAAGTGACGAAAATACACTCAATCTTTATCTTTCCTCACATCTTAAGTTTTTGGCTTACCTTTTAGCTTCTTAATTTTATTCCATTAATCATCAGCAAATGTGAGAAATAGAGAGGCTTCACGCTGCTGTCAGTACCAGGGAAGGTCTTCAATAGAGTATTGCTGAACGGGATGAAAGATACAATAGACGCCCAACTTCGAGATCAACAGGCTGTATTTTGTAAGGATCGGTTGTGCACAGACCAAATCGTGACATTACGGATTATTGTCGAACAAATTGCCCCCAAATGCCCTGGTACGGCCGAGAGTGGGGAGAGTCCGCTCTCCCTCTCGAAATGCTCTCACATGGCCAGCGAATATATAGCCTCTGCCACACAAGTCCTACTCACTGCCTTCTCGTGGCGGGGGTGTTGTTTACGAAATTGAGAAGACGCAAACCGAATGTCCGGCGCTTTAACCGGGTTGGTGGACAAGGCGAGTCCACCTAGGGAATTGGAAAACCCTGATTCCAAACCAATGGTGCACATGGGCCCCAGTATCCTGAGGGAACTAATGGCGTACGAATCATTCGTTGATCACCGGCTACCATGGAACTGCATCTCCTCACGATGCTCTACTGCCTTGTGGATCAGATCTTTCGTTCAAAGGCTCCGGGTGTGGTCCCCTAAGAAAACCATCTGCTTCGGTTCGGGCACCTGGGCAGTATCACAGCCCTCAAGCAAATCGAATGGGATTTGTATGGCGCATATGTATCTGGTGCTTCCTTGTACCAATATTTATGTGTTTAAATAAAATTAAAAAAAATTTTCGAACAATCGGTTGAGTGGAACTCGTCACTAAAGATCAAATTCAGTTACTATGAGAAGGCGTTTGACGATGTGGACAAGAGGACATTGTGGAAACTTTTTCTACACTATGGAGTAGCTGAGAAAATGGCAAACATCATACGGAATTCATACGACGGACTACACTACAAAATGGTTCATAAAGGACAGCTGACAGACACATTTCAAGTAAGGACTGGAGTCGAACAACGCTGTCTACTCTCTCCCTTTCTTTTTCTTCTGGTTGTTGACTGGGTTATAAAGGCCTTGACACCTAAGGGGGAGCACGGAGTACAATGGACACCTCGGAATCAGTTAGATTTGATATTCGCAGGTGACCTGGCCCTTCTATCCCATAGACACGAGTAAATGCAGATGAAAACAACTAGTGTAGCAGAAGCCTCTGCATCAGTAGGCCTCAACATACACAAGCGTAAAAGCAACATCCATAAATACAACACAGAGAACACTAACCCAGTCATACTTGATGGAGAAGCTTTGAGAGAGGTGGAAACTTTCACATACCTGGTCAGCATCGTCGATGAACAAGGAGGATCTGATGCAGACGTAAAGGCAAAGGCTGGCAAAGCAAGGGTCTAATTCCTATGGTTGAAGAACTTATGGAACCTAAAGCATTTTTTAAAGAATGTCGAAGTCAGGATCTTCAGTACGAACGTCAAGACAGTCCTACTGTACGAGGCTGAAACTTGGAGAACTATCATCAAGGAACTACAGGTATTTATAAACAATTATCTACACGAGATACTGAATGACTGTTGGCCAGATACCATCAGCAACAGCCTTCTGTGGGAGAGGAAAACCCAGTCTGCAACTGAAGAGGAAATTGGGAAAAGACGTTGGAAGTAGATAGGAAATACATCGTGGAAATCATCAGACTGAATCACGAGGTAGGTGCTTACTTGGAATCCTGGAGAGAAATGGAAAGGAGGAGGTTCAAAGAACACGCTGCGTTGAGAATTGGAAGCAAACATGTAAAGGATGAATAACGACTGGAAAGGATTACCCATGACAGAGTTGTATGGAGAATGCTGGTGATCGGCCTACTCTCCTCCATGAGGGGTAACAGGTGAAAGTAAGTAAGTAGTCTATTTTCCCCTCTCTAATCGTGTCCTCATTGATGATCTATGGTATTACCACCATTACTGTTACTACCTATACTCGTCTGGGATTTGTTCGGGGATTTCATCTTGCTGTGCCGATGGGGTTAGGTAACTTGTAATAGCGTACACGTGCCGTGTTCTACGTGCTCTGAAAAGCTGTCGGTTTTTGAATTTCAGTTAAGAGATCCTGGTTTTTTGTGTGCCGTTCTGTCATTTCTTCTTTTTACTTTTACCTTGTATCCATTCCTCAGTTTTTTCTGGAGTCACAGTTTCATTGTTTCCAGTATATTATTCTATGAAGTTATCGAGTAATTTGGTGGTCAAGCTTTATTTTTGCAATATCTGTTAGAATCAGGCCTTGCTTTACGATTGGTTTTGTTAGGTGTTTCCTGAAGGTTGCTGTTTGATTTACAAGACGCAGAAAAAAACCTTAATATCCGCTTGTCTATGTTTTCATTTTTACCGGGCCGTTTGCTAAGTGGTATTCCTTCCTTCAGCCCATGTGAGCCAGTCGACTTCAAGTTCGTTGTAGGCGACTGTACACTAATTGTTTATTGACATTCTAAGCATGATCATATTCATCTTGATGGAGACCAGTAGAGTTGCACTTGAAAATACCATTGCGATAGCTTCTGATAACAAGCTCACTACATCCGATCAGCACTGCTAGCATAATCACACATCCGTGTTCACTACATCCATTAGAAGATTCAGGTTTTAGATTGGTGCAAACTATGTGGTACCACTCATTGATTTCATTACATTGCATGCCCTTATCCACAATATATTAACAACTTAGGCGTTGACAGTTGCTCTTTTTGCACTTTCCAGCCATCACTCAAAGACTTTAAAATAACCTTGAAGAAGCGACCACATGTAAAAACCAACAACCAAAAACGTTGGGCAAAAACACGAAAGCGAATCATGGAACGTTAATTTCGAAAAGTGCTGTATCCAAAAGAATGCCATACCCGAATAGAGTACAAACGTGAACCATTTTTGTAGAAACGATATTCTTCCAAATAGTGTTACTCAAAATGATTCATTTAAAGTGAAAACATTAGTATTGAGGAAAAGTATCAGTCTTTTTAAAGTGCGCACCGCATTTATAGAAAATCAAATAAAATGCTTCATTCTATTATTTTCGGTCATCAATACTAAAACATTACTTGATTTGATGTCTCAATCTTTTCCCATAACTTAGAATTGTAAACATCCACTTCTTCGACATGCTTTTGACAACTAACATACAATGGTAAATAAGTCAGACATTATTCTCATAAACTTTGGTTTTTTTCTTCTTAAGTTTCACTGTATTAATTCGAGTGTTACGGTTTTAAATATGGCTGATAATGATCTGCATATCTTTGGATATTCCTTCTAGATGAAATACTTGCTAAACCAAAATCAAAGGGATTTGGACTCTCGAGAAAACCTTCAATTTCAAAGCCAAAATATCGTTATTCAGGAAGATCAAGCGTTTTTTCACGTCGAAGCGGGCTGTACGTGAACATATTCAGCATGTATTTTCCACTTTTTTTGGTCTTTCGGCAACGTTTTACCTGGACACTTCCACTGGCTAGGATGATTTATTTGGTTAGATACAATAGTTAGACATTCAACAGATATGACTCACACATTTCCTATAAACAAACTATTCCAGTCTTGTTAGTTGATATTATGACCTTCATAAAACTATTTTTGCACTTTGGTAATATCACTTTTCGCAGGTCAAATTGTATAATCAATTTCTTTCATGAAGCTTGTTATATTTTTCTATTCGTACTGGTTTAAATAGTTAACAACCAAAAATGGTGCTCTCAAGAAATTATTTTGACTATGGCGTTTTATCCCTTTTAAGAAATGTAGATACTTGTGGATTTAGTTTCTTTTCCCAACCCGCACTTACTACTTTCATGTGGTTCCCGTTTTTGTGTTGAGATGTCTCGCACAAGGTATACCTTTTGGGACACTTGTTGCTTGAAACTTTGATGAAAAAAGTGATTACACCATAATGAGAAATTCATGTGTAATTTTTTACTGTCGACCGTATTAAAGTGTAATAACAGTAAGTTCTTTCATTTCGATAATCAGAATTTCTATTAGTGTTGCTCTTTTATTCTTTGGTAAGTTGGTAGCGGTAACTCCTAAAGGTTTTACATTTTAGCTTGGTCTATGACAACTTTATTGACGGGTACAGAGGATGTACCTAGGGGAGTTGGGAAACCTTGATTTCAAACCAGTGGTACTAATGGGCTCCAAGATCCTGAGGGAGAAATGGCGTATAAACCTATTGTTAGTCAGTGACAACGATGTGACTAGATTTCCTTACGTTGGTCTACTGCCTCGTGGATTAGACCTCTAAGTCAAAGGCTCGGGGTGACTTCCTAAAACAATCACCTGCTTCAGTTTCAGCAATTGGGCAGTATCCTGGCCTACGCACAAAGTAAAGATGACCGCAGCTAGAAAAACCATTCACATTTTAATTTTCATTCCGGCAAATCATACTCAAAACTACTTGTTGATACCCGTTTTTATTTTACTTTGCGGCTCCTCGTCCAAGACCTTGGTGGATGTTATTGATTGGCATTCCATCAACTTCACAAATTATTTCAGTCACATCAGCCTTCTTTCTGTCAGTGTTTTGGATGAGTTGATAGAACTTCCGACAGTCACCAGATGCAAGTGCTACTTCCGACTTATTAGCACGCTCCAACCACTAAGCTTCTCGGTCGTTATACTAACTTTGTACGATTTTGCGACGCAAGAATCTACGTTTATTCTTAAATTCGCGGTTAGTCGAAGTAAACCGACATGTCTCAAAAAGTTACAAGTAGTTTTTAGAAACCTAGTGCTTACAAGCGGGACGTTTTACCAAGCCGCAAATGACTTTACTCACCATTTTCATGGCGTCATCCAAATTCAGATGGTGTTCATCTATACTTTTTTATGTTTGCATTTCAATATATTTACTGTCATTTATTACCCGTTTTCCATATCATCCTCATTATTGCGTTCATATTTTTTCTGATAAATAACATCTTTGTTACATCTCTTTGCGCTTGGCGGCTTCATACCTTTGGAGAATTGCACATGAAAGTACAAATGAACTATTTAAAAATAATATGGAAGGGGATTTAGATACAGTGAATCGGAACATTCTTTGATAGTTTATGCATAACAACCTAGTGTAAAACATTGGTTTATTACCCTGATTTCTATTTCATTACTGTCGTTTATCAATAAGTAAACATTAATATGAAAATACTATCAACGGCTCTCTGTCCATCAAAATATATATTGTATTGATGTAAGAGATTGAATGACTGTGTTTGTGCCAGAATCTATACCAGTTAGATAATCGACATTAAAGATTCATGTGTTAGTAGTAAAATATATATTTAAATGAGGTGAATTCATGAACTTGTCCATTTTATATGTTGACTAGAGTTAATTGAAAGTACTGAAGTTTTTAGTGAACTAGTTAATTTATATTGTGATTTGTTATTACCACTTTTTTGACTCATATTTTGTGGAAAATACTGGGGATGTAGCTCGTCCAGTGGTCCTAATAGTCGTCCTCACCCTAATAATTCCCACAGTGCATCACATACCGTGTCAGTACTTTTCTCGTTAAGTCTTCTGTTTAAAAATGATGACCCTTATGTAATCAATAAAGTATTCTTGTGACACTGTCTGTATTTAGTTAGAATATATTTCGTATATTTCACGGCTTCCATATTACTGTTGGCTGTTTTGAACTTGATAATGATCGTATAAAATTGGGATCGACTAATAAACTGATTTTTTAAATTAGACATCAAAAGATCACAACCTAATTACTCAAGATAGTTTAGTTTAAAAATTGAATTCTAAAACAATGACTGTATTCTAAAAAACGTATCTCATATTTTGTGTAGAAAATCAAACTATTAGGAAAGTAGTCGACGCTTATAATATATGTGTCAGTATTCGTCACTTGATAATTTATGTAATACTTTATGTATTCTGTTAGTCTCCATGATGCGAGTTTTGTTTATTTCGCGTAGTACTTTTTTCACTCAAATATACTACGTTTATTTTTTAATAAATAAGCGAGTTATTCTTGCCAATATTCGTCAAGAAAATGTTGCTATTATTAGAATCGTAATGGCAACATTAAATACGAGAACTTTGTATTGTTATTGATTAGATATTGTGTTCTGTAAGAAGGCAATTTAAATTACCTACTATATTTGGTTGGATAATAATAATGACAAACCTATTCGCCAGCTACTCGAGCACGAACCACACTCCGACTTTAAAGGCTAACGACATGGCCCTGCCATTTGAGCCAATGTTGGTGGGGTGGCGTTCGAATCTAGGGCTCAGTGGCTGAAAGTCAAATCCTTTAATCACTAAGCCACTACTCCACTTGGTTGATTAGTGTATGATTGCCTTGGAAAGCTTTCTAGTTACATCATTTATTGATAAGTGACCTGATTTTTTGTAGCGTGGTGATTTAACTGTTTCAGTCTTCCTACTATAATCACTGTTTTAGTTATCAACTGCAAAGCTTAGTTCTTTTTATTTAGTCGAATATAAATAAGTAAAGGTATATCTCACTCCTTGTCAATTGTCGAGAATACATAGACTGACTGGTCTCAAAATCAGCATTCCAAATGTTAAGCTTTTAATGAGTTTAAATTTTCCGTAGTTTTGATGAACTGTATTTGCTGACGGTTAACAGCAGAATTTTAGACGGGTGATTTGCTCTATTAAATTCTCATCAGTTAGATGCTTTTCCATCTCATTATCCATCACTTCAGCTTTCAAAATTTTGTCCAGCCATCTAAGTTCTCGATTTTTTCAATTTAAAAATCCGGCGAGACTATAATTTATGGACAAACAGGTCTCGGATTTTGGCGCGAAATTCACTCATCTATTTGAATTAACAGAGTTTTGGCACTATAGCTGATGTCAGTTCGTGATGAAAAACCTAAATCTAATTCCTAACCTTAACCATCAACTGTAAGTCATAATTCTAATTCCTCACACTGGTTTAGAAACTTTCATTTGGTCTTAGTTATTTGGTGGACACTCTCAAGTTCACTTAAGCGTCACTCAAAGGCCGTCCATAAATTATGGTCTCACCAAAAATACTGAATAAGTTTAGAAATTTTTGTTTGACATGAATGGCAGAGTAAATGGTATTATGAGAGAAGGAATTCATTTTCATGTTGCATTAGGATGTATTTCCGTCTCATTACTCATCAGTTCAATTTTCAAACCGTTATTGATTTGTCTACGATAGTCGACTGATTGGAACTTGAGATTTTCTCCTATTTTTCTTTTTAAAGCCGGAATTAACTATTTATTTCTGTAATGGTAGAAATTATTTTTATAAAATTATTTCTTTCGTTTTTTGATACAGATCAAATTCTCGTAAAAAAGCATTATTCTTTGCAGCTGGTGCTCTGGCTGGTGTTTATATTGGCTCACGAATGAGATCACATGTGCATCTAAGATCTTATCGTGATTTGTGTAAGTTTCCATCTCAAGTATTTAACTAATATATTTTGATGAACCTGTTAGTATATATCAACTGTAAAGCAATTAAAACTAGCTGGGATTTGCTTCGTTCGAGTTTAAACTCAGTTATATAAATATCACACTATATGACAAATCGGCTAGGGATAAATATGTAAACCATCAGCTCTGTACTCATTATCTGAGTAGTATGGTATTATTTCGAGACTTGAGGTTTCATAACATTCGCGCCGGACATTCGCTTTCCGTCCTCTCAATTTCGTAAACAATACCCTCGTCACGAAAATGCAATGAGTAGGACTTCCCTGACAGAGGCTATATATACGCGTGGCCATATGAGAGCATTTCGAGAGGGAGAGTGGTTTCTCCCCACTCTCGGCCGTATCAGGGCATTTGGGGGTATCGACTGGAATCGCGTTAGTGAATAAAGGAATTAAATAAGTCACATACGAGAATGGATTTCGAATACGTATATCTTGTACAATCGTTGATCTAGACAGACGATCAGAGGGACGAAGAGAAGAGAGCGAAGCGGAATAACGGGCGGTGAAGAAGGCATGTAACCCAACTAAATTTAGTCAAGCGTGAATCGATATTTATAGTCAGCTAAAAATAATTTACAGACATGTGGTAAGTAAGATAAGAAATGTATACACATATGCTTACATGAAAACAGTCAAGGTTGACAAGCGAATAATTAACAAGGTCAAAAATGTGACTCAATAAGAATGGATAGATTCGCCTATCTGTAAGCTAGAATAAGCTGTATGGGTTTGCATAGCACTACAAAGCCGTGACTAGTGGAGTTCGTGTCGGGTTGAGACAAGTATATACCTCAACCAATGAATGAGTGGTTAGGCAAGATCATGGATCGTCTGAAGTTAGACATTAACGCCGTTGGATGCCGGCTCGGAGTAGTCTAGAGGTTAAGCGTTCACGTGCGAGACTGAAGGTCTTGGGTTCGATTCCCGCATGCGGGTCGTGAATGCGCACTACTGATGAGTCCTATACTGGGACGAAACGGCTTTCAAATGTTTTCAGGTCTTTAGTAGTGATCTAGCTTGGATCGACTCATGAATTAAACTATTAAAATTACTACAATCTCCACAAACCCCATTCTCAGCATAACCTAAACTTATTCGGTATTTTCAAAAATCCATTTTATTCGACTTGAATGCAGAAGCAGTAATAGTAGTAGTACCGGTTAATCACTAAGAAAATGCTATTTCGTTGATAAGAACCAATGTCATGGAATGAGAGGAGGCAAATATAACTAAAACTAACGAACATTATTATAAATATTGTTGGTTTGCTTTATCTTTTTTCAATCTCTTATAGATAATTATGAGGTTTGTGAAGGCCAACGCTCTGAGTTCATCAATAGTACAGGGATGACACGTACTTATTCATATTTCCTATGTCCTGATAATCCAAATCAACCATTCGAAAAATATTGTTGCTGGGATTCAGCAACTGGTATGGGAGCATGCTGTTCTTATGATGTAAAAATGTATGTCAATATTTTAAGAAATAATGGATATAAATATTATTACTACTATTTTTCAACGTATTTTATTCGTAATAATAATGATAATATAATTCAAGTATATTTATCCTCTTGAAATTGAATTTTTCCCATGGAGCATTATTAATATTTTATTGTAGAATAGTAGCGACTTGTACTTTTTTAGTATATCATGAAGATGTTGTGGATGTCTTTACAACAACTATAACTTTTCACTGTTCTCGAACATGTGTTGTTTTCCATGTGAATACTTGATTAAATATATTTCAGTTATCCGACATAGGATTGTGCATAAATGTGTATCAATACAAGTTTTTAGACTTAATAATAATATATGAAGAGATTATCAATAGAGAACTACACTACTTATTTAAACCTGTTAGTCCATTTAAAGCACAAGCCGTCAACCAGGAATCTTCAACTAACTCTGTCTTGGGTTTTTCTATCTAGTTGTTTCCAAGTTCTATTCATCCTTTTGATGTTTGTGTCCAATTACCAGCGCTATGTGTTCTTTGATCTATCTTTTCCTTCTAGCTTGATAGTTCCAAATTAGGACTTGCTTTGTAATGTAGTTTGATCATATCCGTAAAGTATGTTCTATCATATCTAACTCCAGCTTCTTTACTTCAACCGATTATTGCTGAAGGTTTCTGGTTAATGGATTTGGGGTATCTTACGTAGACAGCTGCTTATAAACACCTGTACCTTTTTGATAGTAATTGTAGTAGTTTTCCAAGTTTCAGCTCCTTACAACGGAACTATTTCAACGTTGGTGTTGAGTATTCTGGTTTTGTGTGAGTTGTCTTTGAATTCCAGATATTTTTCAACTACGGGAATTTCGCTACATCTCTTGCACTGATAGACTCTCCTAAACTCATTTCATCAGGCTCCGAACACGATAAAGATCGAAAACAAATCAGGTCTGGGTTAAACAAAAGTCTATGGAGCGATTACAAACGGTGGTGGATAAAGAAAGCGAGAGAGATGGGAAAGGCAACAGCTATAGGAAACATACGACAGCTTTTCAGACTAATAAAACAAACCGGAATTAAGAAGTCAAGTGTACGTGAGACAATCTCAGAAAAAGACGAAACTCTTATCAGCTCTCAGTTCAGACGTTTAGAACGATGAGCGGAACACTTTAGGGAGCAGTTCAGCTGCTCTGCAGCGACCCACCATATCCAAACAGCCTGAATGGAACGCTGAAGTAGGCCCCGTGACTCTAATTAAAGTTCGAAAAGCCATAGCTAATCTGAAACGAAGAAAAGCAGCTGGTCCAAACAGATCAACTCCAGAGATCTTTAAGGATGATGGTCCAATTTTAGCGATTAGGTTGACCAATATTTCAGCTAAAATCTGAGAACTGGGTGTAGTCCTATCTGACTTGTCGCAATCACGGATTGTCCCAATTTATAAGAAGGGGTCAAAATCATCCCGTGATAACCATAGAGGGATTAGCAGAGATGGATAGTGGCTAGCAGTGGAATCCAGGACGCGCGTTTCGTCCCATTTGGGACTCGTCAGCTGGATGTACCTGCATCTCAGAGTTGATGTTCACTCTGGGACTCGAACCCAGTACCCTCTCTTCAAATGCCATCGCGTTATCCACTCGGCCACTGAGTCCTGATAGCCACTTGCTTGTGCGATGGGGTGAAGTTTGAATTCACTTAGTATTGTTTGTTTGGATCTTCCCATCGATGTGTTTAGGACTGCAACTGGTCAGTCTCTAATTGGCATGCTTGTGAATAAGGTATATCGAGGCAATACGCACAGTATGCACATATGCCAATTAGAGACTGACCAGTTGCAGTCCTAAACACATCGATGGGAAGATCCAAACAAACAATACTAAGTGAATTCATAGAGGGATTAGTTTCACTAATATAGCATCTGAAATACTAGTCTCAATAATTATCGGGAGCCTAACTAAGACTCGTGAACTCAAAACACGAGAAAATCAGGCTGGCTTCAGACCTGGTCGTGGCTGCATCGACCACATATTCACCATTCATCAGATTTCGGGACACAGGCATGCTTATCGGTGTCAGACAATGATAGTTTTTCTTCACTCAAAAGCAGCATCTGTCTCTGTAGACCTAGAGGTTCTGTGGCAGTGCATGTCATTGAAAGGTGTACCTCAGAAGTACGTAGAAATTGTGAAGGATCTTTACTCCAATACTACCAGTCGAGTGAGAGCTTACAGCGAACTGTCATATGATTTTACAACCTCAAGTGGTGTCCGACAGGGATGTTCACTATCTCCATTTCTATTCAATTTCATAATAGGCCAACTGCTGGAAATAACGTTCTCGTTGTCTGAATTTTCAGGAATTGAACTCTTACCAGGAGGTTCAATTATTGACTTAGAATATGCAGATGACATAGTCCTGTTTGGTGAAGACGCTGGTAAAATGAAGAATCTTTTAGTAGCACTGAGCAACAATGCCAAAATGTTTGGAATTCGTTTCTCTTTCTCTAAATGCGAATCGTTACTTCAGGACCTGCCTGCGTCAACACATAAACTAAGAATAAGCAATGAAGCAGTCGAACACCTCGATGGGTATACTGCACAGCAGTTTGTTCTGTTTTACTTTACGGCTGTGAAACGTGACCATTAAGGGTAGAGGATAATCGTAAGTTACTAGTATTTGACCACAAACGCCTTAGAAATATTGCTCGCATCTGCTGGGATCACCGGGTAAGTAATAGTGAGGTTAGACAGAGGATATTAAAGAATGATGGTAAATCAGTTAATGAGGTTGTGAATCTTCATCGACTGAAATGATTGGGCCTCGTGTTATGTATGTCTGAATACCGATTACCACGGTATGCAATGCTGACTAGTGTTGGAGACGGATGGAAGGAAGTTACACGTTTGGTATGGATGGCACACGAGTTAGTGTCCTCGAAAAGGCCAACAAGATAGGCTTCGCTCGCCTCCTGGAGGGCAGAAACTACTGAACTTTGAAAACGTAGATCGATCTTAAAGTCTTGCGCGATCTCCCGAACCAAACGCTGGAAAGGCAGTTTACGGATGAGCAGCTCGGTTGACTTTTGGTAACGACGAATTTAATGTAGGGCTACTGTTCGTGGACGATAACGATGTAGCTGGTGCACTCTTTCGCTTAGCTTTAGTGGCCAGTTGCATCCTTGGAGCCTTCCCACCTGTACTCTTGCGAGCAGTCTGCTTCGTGCGTGTCATGACTGTGAACAAATCAAATGAGATTTGTGCGGCGCATATGTATCTGTAGAAGGAAGTTAGGGGTGGCCAAATCAAAACGTGGCATCAGTCCTTGAAATCACTAACTTGTGGTGTGAGCCATGTTGGTAGATGCAGAGTACTTGATGAGTATCTGCGCGACTATCGTAGCCAATTGTTGGGGACTGTGGGTGAAATGGCTGAGAATCGATGATAATGGAATAGGTGTACACAGTCTCTGTCTTTCTGTAGACTGTGAGGTTGAAATTACTTTAAAGCTTTCTTTTTACGAACTAGTTCTTTCTGTCTGTATCATATCCTTTTATGCAATCTTTCTTCTATATATTCCTACCATTGAAGTAACTACTTCTACGAATGTGATGTCCATCTTGTTGTGCTAATGAGGTGTGGCAACTTTAACCGATGCGTGTATGTTCCTGGTCTTACGTTGTAGCTGACTGTCCTTGCTTTGCCAATTCATGTTTATCAATAAGGTCTCCCAGGTACATTAAAGTTCACACCTCTTCTAGAACTTCTCCATCGAAAGTGATTCGGTTGCTGCCCACTGTTGTATTTCAAGATCTTGCTTTTTCCCTCATGGATGTTGGAACTCACTGTTTTGAAAGCCACTGCTACACTGACTGTCTTCACCTGCATTTGTTGGTGTGTATAGGATATTCGAGCTAGGTCATCTTTACAGTCCAAATCGTCTAGCTGCATCCAAGACATCTCTTATGTTGCCTGCTTTCTTGACATGTGAAGATATTCATAATCCAGAAAAGGCAAGGTTGAGCAGACTTGTCTGACAACAGTCTTAACTTGAAATGCGTCTGTCAGCTGTCCTCCAGTCACACTGCTTTGCAGTGTAGTCCGTCGTATGAATTCCGGGTGATGTTGACTATATTCTCAGGTACATCATATTGTGGAATAAGGTCCCATAAGTCTCTTCTATGCACTCTGTCAAACTCTTTCTCATAGTCAAGAAAGTTTATGTATAGTGACAAGTTCCATTCAGTTGGTTATTCTGCAATATTCCATAGTATTGCTAATAGGTCTGTACGCGACCGATCCTTACGGAATCCAACTTGTTGATCTCGAAGTTGGGTGTCCACTAAATTTTTCATTCGGTTCAGCAACATTCTGTTGAAAACTTTTCCTGGTGTTGATATTAGTGTGATGCCTCTGTAGTTTTCACATTTGCTTAGATCTCCTTTCTTTGGGATCTTAATGAGGCATTCTTTTTTCAAGTCTGTCGGCACTTGTTTCTCCTCCTAAATCTTCTTGTGTATGACGTGTAGCATGTTTGCGGTTGCTTTTATGTTTGACCTCAGTGCTTCAGGTGGTATATTGTCAGGTCCTGTTGCTTCCCCACTCTTCATTTGTCTGGTGGTTACCCTGATTTCCTTGATCCTTGATGGAGTGACATCTATAGGGAGGTCTGTGTGCTGCTTCGATGTCCGGTTGATTCCATAGAGCAAGCCGATTCAAGAGTTCTTCAGAATGCTCCACCCATTTGTTCCTCTTTTCTTGAGTCTCAGTGATTAGCTTGCCTTCTTTTTCCTTGACTGGTATCTCTGGTTTACTATATTCCCCTGCCAGTTTCTTCGTCGTGTCATAAAGCTGCTTTATATTTCCTTCTCTTGTAGCTTTTTCCGCTGCTGTTACTAGGTCTTCCACGTATTTCTGCTTGCCAGCTCTAATGCTCCTCTTCATTTGTTTGTTTGCTTCTGTTTATTCATCCTGTACTTTGACTTTCTCTGCTCGTGTTCGGCCGTTGTTAATCACTACTTTCTTGTTTTTTGTTTCTTTAATCTTGGTCAGGGTATCAATAGAGATCCATTCTTTATGATGGTGTTTCTTGTGGTCTAGTACCTACATTCCGACGTTTTTGCTAATGGATCTTGTAAGGTTTGAAACTTGTTGCTGAAAGCCTCAGTTTCAACCTACTCACCACTAGATGGTGATCTGAAGTTATATCAGCTTCTTTCTTCGTTCTCATGTCTTCCACAAAGATGAGAATGTTATTATGATGGCCCCTTGTCATAGATTAAAGTAAGATACTAACACCGGTGAGTTCCGGCTCGGAGTAGTCTAGAGGTTAGGTGTTCATGCGTGAGATCGAAGGTCCTGGGTTCTATTCCTGCATGCAGGGTCGTGGATGCGCACTACTGAGGAGTCCTATACTGGGACGAAACGACCGTCTATTGCTTCCGGGTTTTTACTAGTGGTGCAACTTTGGTTGACTTATAATTTCAATAGAGTTCAATAATACCATACTTCCATAAAAATTACCCATTAACTGTGATCTGATAAAGTTTAATAATGTACAGGACATTCAGTAGGCTGTTGTATTTCTTTGATGACATATATTAACATATTATGTATACGTATATAGTTATAAATTTTGATATAGTTTTCTTAGAATATAAATACGGAGCTTGTGTAAATCGGTACCTTAAAGTACAACAAATAGCAATTCTATATTTACATTGAGATTACTTTACTTAAACTGTTTCCATGTTAATTTTAAAGTTATTTGATTGTGAATTATTCTATATTATTTTCTTGTTAAAATTAATGAGTTCATAATTAAAAATACATAAATAAGTAGATTGTCTAAAAGATCATGATTTTGATTGTCTTATTTTTCTTACCTTTTATTGCATATTTAATCATGTAGTTAACTTTTAGTTATCACAATTGATTGGTTACTGGGTGGTGATCAATGTCATGCGTGTCAAGTCATTCTTAATGCTGATCAAATGCTATCGATCAAGTTGCAATGTGGCCACTAGTCTAGGTGGCTCAACACTGCGTGCACTATGTTGAGATAAGATGGTGGTTAGAGGTGCCAAGTAGCACGAAACCTGGGTCCAGGGTTTCCTGTTGACCACCTCTAACCACCATCTTAAGTTTTAGTTATGTATATATAATAATATTGTCCATTTTGTGTCTATAAATCGAAATGCTCTATTTATCATAATTTCAATTTACTCTAGAGATTATGACTATTTGTATTATTTCTTTATACTTTGATCTTAAAAAAATAAGTGAAGATTTATTGTAATTTCTTATTTTTACATGATTTGATAAAGTGTTAGTATTTGTAAATCATTAATTTTTTTTAAGAAATATCAAATGAACTGCTTAGTAGAAACTGTTGCTTTATTTAGCTCCTCAGTATTTGAAAGAGTTGTATACCGAACGGTGTCGAGAAGTGCATACTACTCAATTAGGGTTCACCCAATAATCGTAAGCTATGAATACTTACCATTCGATGATAGATCACAGTAGGTTGTGGCATCTTAGATTTACTCACTTTTGTTTATCTTCCTCGAAATCGAATATTTTAATATTCTTTCATACATTTTTGTGCTTTAACTTTATCTAATCCCTTAGGACTATATTCTCTATATGTTAGATCATATGTTGTTTATAACTAAAATAACTGACAACTGTCTAAAGATATTTCTGTAGACGAGATTACGTTTTTTCCTTATTATAGTTTGCAAGTTTTTGTACATTAAAACCTGATATGATTATTTGATTATCCAGGAGTATTTTTCAGGACGATATTCTAAGTATTAAATATCAAACGGATTATTCTACACTCACTTCAATGCACAACATTAAGTTGAATTATGTATGCTGTTACATATAGTGCAAATTGTACTTCTTATCCAGTGGCTAATTCATGACACTAGTCATTTACTTGATGTGTTTGTATATGTACTAGTGTACCATCGAGTTATGTTGTTAATTTGATTACATTTTAAAATAGAAAATATTTCCATTTACATCTTTCATTATATATGTGTATCTTTAGGTATTCACATTCTGGCAGGTAAATTATTACTTTTCATTATTTTTGTCACTATTGTTTTTAAATCTCTCCTAATCTATTTTCACAAATGCACTAATTTTTTATCATTTCATATAAATGAAGTAAATATGATCTGTTCCTGTTTTTGGTTTCCTTTTTTTTAAATTTCTGATTACCTAATTGAGCATGTTGTCATGAATCGTTTTCTCTTTTTTTTTGTCAAAGTCAAAATAATCATTTGTCATTTAGAAATATGATTCACCTGGATTAATTTCATTCCAACAATTTATTTTATTATTTTATTGAAAGAGAATATATTTGCATTTCTATTAAACATAATCTTATTAATTTATGAATAAAATTGTGTAGATGAAAAAAATATACATAGAGATGAATTGATTTATGAATATTAATATGGGTTGGACTAGTCAACATTTTTCTAGTTAGTTGCATGATCCTCGTCCTGAATGTGTGTATGCATATGCTATTTTATTAATTAATATCATTCTGTTGATGGTAATGATTGTTGTGTAATGAATAAATTAGACCATTTTTCCCTTTGTCATTAATCATCCTTATTGTTTTACTCTGTAGTTGATTCTTCTCTTTTTTTTTAAGTTTATCATCTTACACTTGTGAAAACTTTTTGCTTGTTCAATCAAGACAAATTTAAAATGTTTATTAGTTCATTATTGATTCATCCTAGCTTATAACATGAATATTTCTCTTCCTTAGCATTATTCAATCTGCCTGATTGAAATAGATTTCTTTCTCTACAAAATGAATTATCAACCTTCTTCTTTCTATTAATATTTTGTTAATCATTGAAAAAAGAAATCCCCATAGAAATATAAGGTTTATGTACTCAGTTAATTTTCTACTCATCAATAAAATGTGATCACTAAAATAATATTGTTTTTCTCTTTAGCATATATACAACGTATCTTCACTGTTACTGTTGTTATATGGAATACATGTGATAATAACCCATATGAATCGTGGAAATTATCTTGACCTATTTCTTTATTGAGCAGTTATTATTATTATTTTTAGTTGAATTAAATTAAGTCAATTCAGTAATGGTAAATTTTTACTCTTGGTATTTGTTGGCTTATTGAACAAGTCATTAAAAACGTCAACGAAGGACGATTATTTCTTTATGTCATTTAGCGGTATCAAGATTTGTCGCTTTGGAAAATAATGAAGTATTCATTTGATGAATTGTAATAGTAGTGGTATCTGTACTAATGTCATTAAAATATTTTACAGTAAAACAAAAATAAATGTTAGTATAGACTAAAGTACTATATGTTCAATTCAATAAAATGGTTCAACTGTAATGGCAAATGTCTGCTTGATTGATTCAAGGAGAGCTAATGAAAGGACTTGGATTGTATTGACTACTATTAAAGGGAAAGTTTTTGAGGTTTATGAAAAGATAAGCTATTTGTCGTGCCGCTTTTTTTCTACTTGTTAAGGCTTAGGTTTTGAAGATTCATGTACCCTCACTTATAATTGGTTTTCAGGACTTTATCAAAGTTATGGTGAGTCTCTCTAATCATCACTACCTATATTTTCAACTATCAGATCACTAATATTTCTCCCCTGTTTAGTCAGATGCAATAATATGCAAGAACCCTTTAAGAAAGGATGCTTATTGTAAAACAAGTTTCATGGGAGCACAGTGTCTATGGAAAGTGGGAGACAGTACTAAAACATCACTTGAAACTATTTTGTTTAAGAATTTCAGTGAATTACATTATTTCGCTGAAGTCCAAAAATATGAGGGCGATTATTCATGAAATTCAACTAATTATTATCTTACAACTTTTTCTTTTGAAGGATAAATACTAATTCATTTAAGTCATTCTGAATCATTTAAAATATTTGACTTACTCAATAATATGTAAGCATCATTGTTGTATATTTGTTTATGCATAACCTTTAGATTTAGTGTTTGTAGTTACATTGCAATAATCACCGGCGATACTCCAACATGTCTATTCCTGTAAAAGATACATACATTTTTATTTGTCTGACTGAATTTCAAAACCAAATTATTGTTGGTTGCTTTCTATTAATTTCCATAATTCTATTTTAGCGACCCTCTCTCTCTCTCTCTCTCTATATATATATATATATATATATATATATATATATAGGATGGTATTTCTCTGTTTGCTTGTTTGCAATAGATGGTTAATAATTATAAGCTGCTGTTGGTACGCTCGACAAAAGCAAAGTAAAATTTATCATGAGTTTAAGTGATCTGTTGAGATTAGATAAATTTTTGAATCTCTTGAAGAAACATGGAAAAAAATCGAACACTTAAAAGCTACTTTTTTCTAATAGAAAGTTAACGCTAAAGCTGTAGTCATATAGACCATTATTGAATACTACTGAGAGTAGTTTGTAAGTAATATAATATATTCCATAGTATACACTTTGATTCATTTCCTACCATAACATTATTAGCCTGCTTATATTAAAAGTATTGTATTGGCTAATCCAGTGTGAATAGGTTAAAAAAAATATGATAGAAGTTCTGAAAATTATTGACTATCTAAAGAAATTGTAATGATTTCATCTAGTAAAATTTACAGTTACATTATATATTGTGCTTGGCTCTTAGCTGTATGACACTTTCTATTTTTTTATCCATTGTCCATAAAATACCGTTTTTTTTAATAAAAAATTAATTTCTCCTCTTTCTGTTATTTCTCACTGTAATAGGTTGATTCACTCCATTGTTATTCTTGTAAAGTCTATTAAACAAATTATACGTTGACAATACGATTATTCTTAACTTATCAGCATATCTACTATATTCTGATCTTATTAGCGATGTAAATCAACTATTGCTAATGATCCAGTTTAACTATTATTTTGAGTTACTTTTAAAAGAAACATACTAGTTTTATTTAATCATTATGTTTGGTTGTTTTTAGACTTAATTCTTTTCTCTCCTAAATGTTTAGTTTTTAAACGTCTTCCCCCAAAAAAAGTGGTGATATATAAACTAGGGTTTGTAACAAAATACATTGTATATAATGTATTTGTATTCATGAACTCAATGGATAAATAGAAATTCGAATAGGGTGTTTAAATTAATTCTTAATTGTTTCCTTTAATTTCTTCATAATAAATCATTTCCGGGCATTTGTTGTTTATTTAGTTGTGTTGTTTTCTCTTCTATAATTTGATGTCTTTCTTTCGACAAAAAAGAGTTGTTGATGTGTTTCACATTAACTAATTAATTAACCTTTAAACTGCATCGTCATTTTAGTTTTATTCATTGTTGTAATTCAACGTCATGAATGCTTTCTTATTGATCGAGTTTATAAACAAATATTTATCATACCATCTCTCAATTTATACTACATCTGTATGCTGTGATTTAATTTTTTACATTTCAGGGGAGTTGTCGTTGGTACACTACTTGGAACTATGTTATTGATTATAACATTCGGCTCGATTATCTATTGCTGTTTTCGTTGTAAACGTCGGAAAGAGAGAGAATCATTGAATGTTCCAAGTGCACAATTTACATCACCTCTAGATCCAGTGTACAAACCGGTAAGCAAATCCAGAAGTTTGTCCGAGTCTAGTGACACTTCGACTGTAGAGAACCAGCCATTAAATTCTGGGGTAAGGTGTTATTCGTATTTGTGACGCAAGAGATTTAAGCATATGGTGTGCTGTGTGTGTGTGTGTGTGGTTATACGTACGAAATACTCCTTGGCTAACCAATTGTCCATTTAAAAATTTGGGTTTTCTGTTGACACCTTTTCTATGTGTTTTTTAGTTTACCACTTTAGTCAACTATATTTTTTTATTGTGATCGATTTTGATTTACATTCATCGACTTAGGAAGCTTACTAGAAATATAACTTATAACTTCAGAGTATCTCATGAAAATCATGGTTAAAATGTTTTTATCGTGTCAGCTATTTTTCGTTGTCCAGCACCCCACAACAATCTAGCTGCGAGATATCCGAATTCGGCTCTTCATCTTAGACAGTGTTCAACGTAAGGCGAGTAGAATCTCATCTTAATATTCGATTCTTCTATGAGTGATTTAGTCTTCTCACATAAACAAGTTACGTTACTTGTTAGATTTGCTACAATCTCCTTTTGATTAATTCCAAACGAATTTATCTTACTAAATGAGGTTTTCAAACAAACCAAATGAAATGTCAAACTATTCTTCATCCAAGAACTAAGTACAATATAAATTGAATGGAGAAATAATGGAAAGATTTTTAAGGTCTACTGGACAGCAGATTGAAAACACAGTTACAGTTTTTGTTTATACAGTAAATTATTCATAAATTTTAAGAACAGCTCGATGAGTGGAACTGTAGTCTTCATTTTCCATAATAGGTAGGAATAAATTTCACTTTGATGTGTTCTTTGTTGTTGGTATTTTTATATTTCATTTTCTGTTGTATCTATTTACTGTTAGTGCTTCCTTCACACCAGTTAACTATTACAACGATCTTTTTTATGTTAAATATGGGTGATTTAAGCAACTTTACATTTTAAATTTTGTAACGCATCAAACACTTGGCACAATGACCCATGTAGATTCTCTTGTTTTAACCTGGTATTTTTAGTAAAACATAGTAGTCGTCCCCTTATATATTTTATTGAAGAGCTTCTTTGCTTTAATTTATTAGAATCAATATCCTGTAGTCAATCCAACGTCTGTGCCTCCTGGTTATCCTGTTTATCCATATCCTCCGAACGGACAATTCGTTGGCTATCCACAGAATGTTGATGTCCCTTTTGCACCTGTACCACCAGCACTTCCAACAAACATGACCGGAGGAGCTGGATCTAGTTGGGGAGTAGAGACTAATCTGCCCTATTCAACCACTCGACCAGATTTCCCACCCCCTCCCTATCCAGGTGCTTCAATTTCAAATGCTGAAGTTCATGCTAGCGCTCCAAGGTATATTTGGTCACTGTAATCATTATAAATCTTCATGCTAACAAAATCAAGTTATTGTCTTTTTTAAGGAAAAAAAGTCTTGCTTTATCATGATAGACCCTCCATATAAGGAGACGGTTCTGATAACCAAATCTCACATTGTGTATGCTAGTAAATAAACACTGCTAATCAACCAAGTGAATATATATATATATATATATATAATTCATTTTCTTATTGGTTGTTTGATTCTTCCCGTTGATGTGTAGGAGTGCAATTGAGCAGTCTCATATTGACATATGTGCATCCTGTGTGGATTGTCTCAATATTGCCTGAGGTCACAAACACTATAAGCAGAGATGGATGGTGGCTAGCAGTGGAATCCAGGACGCGCGTTTCATTTTATTTGGGACTCGTCAGCTGGATGTACCTGCATATATATATATATATATATATATATATATATATATATATATATATATATATATATATATATATATATATATATATATATATATATATATATATATATAGTTGAAATATTTTTAGCTACTTTAGTATAACCGAATATATAACAAATAATGAATGAAGATCGACATGTGGCTCAATTCATTGTTTGTTTGTACAAAGCCTCATTCAAATTTCACTGGTAAAAATGAATTCGTTCATTTCTCAATCTTTTTCATCATATTTGTCTCTTTTGATTAATTTCATTTTTCTCATATTTTGTAGTTCAACATGGATGACAAAGAGTTGAATTATCTTTCGAATTCCTATCATTCGAAGATGTTGTTATCAGTAAAATATGAGAGATGAGAAGATTCACTCCTAGTATTATTATTCTTATTACTATTATGGATGGTAGTCAACAATCTTTGTCTATCAATTATTATTTGGTATATGTATATTTCTACCCATCGATTATGTTTATTTCTCAAGTTTTTCCATGTTTGAGGTTGTCTTGTTTGACATTGTTTTGTTTTTGTTTTTTGCTTCCATTTTCTAGTGAATTCTTTTTGGTTGTCGTTGCATTTTAAGCACATTTGTATTGTGTATGGTTTATTTATCTCATTTTCGTTGTGTTTGTTTTATATAACAAATTATTTCTTTCCTTGTTCCCATTATATTTATATCAGTTTATTTTTCCAAATGAGTTCTGTTTATTCATTCAGCTACTTTTTTCTCTATTATAAAAAGGATTTGATGATTAATTTGTTCATGAAATAATGAAGACATGATAACAGCTTCTTCCTTTCATGTACGGTCTCATTTTTTTTCGTTACCTTTACAAATGGTTCAATAAATTGGAAATTAATTAACACTTAGATACCTGAAATGATGCTGTTGGACAATCAGAAATTATCATCATTAATTCTTTTTTATTTTACCTTTGTTTTTATTTATGCATATAAACTTATGTGTTCGAATATTGTTTATTGTGGTGTTCTTTCCTTTCTTTATTGCCTTTATAGTTTCACCAAATATTCACTCATATTACATTCATTAATATAAGTTTTTTTTACTGTCACTCTACCAGTTTGACTACTGCTACCCTATTTATTACTAATTAAACTTTATTGTATTTTTATTCGGTTTGTTGTGTTTGGTTGTTCACTTGTTTCTGTTCAGCAAATAAAGAGATTTACGTTGAACAACTCAGAATGAAAAAAAATCCTTGCACAATTATCAATCAGTTGTTCATTATTTTTTTTAATTTGTATTTTTGCTTTATTAAGATAAGTTTTATTAAATAATATTTCACCAAAAAAAACCTTTTTTCTGCTTATTCCAATAATTGAGTGAGTTGATTACTCTGTATATTTGCATGAATCAGTGGACCTATGGTCTCCCCACAAACACCTCAGTTCATTGATTATCAACATTATTTTTTTAGTTTACCTTGGGTCTTACACTTTCCATCCTTAATATGCGTCTGTCCTCCCATCATATTCATTACTGCAGAAATAACTCATGCATAATTCCGGAATACACAATCAGTGTATGGGGTGAAAATTTAATTAATCTTTACCAAAATAGTTGTATGATTGAGTCAAATCTCGTAATTAGACTATGTTGTTTTACCTAGACATATTCAACTTTTTATTTCCTAAACTTTGGTGCTGATCGAAATTATCAACTAGTGTAAGAATCTGCTGTTGGAAATCAATTTCAGTTTGACTATGTTAGTAATAACATACATGTTCATGAAAGTGGTCCAAATCCGACAAGGGACATCAGCTCCCTTAAAGTCGCATGCATATGAAGCTGATTGCCGACTAGCACAGTCTAGGACTTGTTAGTTGTCTTGAAACGCCTAATATATCCCATTTTTATTTTTGTTTACATAAGGTATTGATTCCAAAGCTAGATGATAGTCGAATAAGTAATTAAGTTACAGTAAAACAAAGTTATTCACACCAGGTTCTCTAAGAAACCACCGCTACCGGAATACTTGTATGTTGCAGTATTAACCAGAAGTGATTTTGTGTATTATTGCAGTTAGGTTGTTGTTGGTTCCATCTTTTCAGTGTTTTGATTGGACGCTTATCAATATATATACGAGGAAAGTAACTTTATCTCTGGTTTCTTCTGACAATGATCTTCAATCCTTTGCATCGACAGTGTTACTTTCACAATAGTAACTTTCAATAAAATACCTGTATCAATAGTTTGTAGTACCAGTTCATATGTTAGGCCCATATACTTTATTCTAGTTACTGGCCAAGCCAATTCACCTGTACATTGAGCCATCTTTTGATCTTGTTAATCATTTGCTTATTAACCTTGAGTACTTTTTATATGAGCGCATATGTGTACACTTCGTATCTTATTCATCATATGTCTGTCACTCATTTTTGCCTGCCTATAAATGTTAGTTAACGCTTGCTTAAAATGAGTTGGCTTCCCAGCCATCTCCAATACGCATCATCTTTGCTTCGCTTGCTTACAGTTGCTCATGTGCTTACAACTTTCTGGTCTGCATCGATTATCAATAAAAATGTAGTTGCCGCTTCCCTTTGCCTTCTGATATTATACACCGTTAAGATTGGTATTAATAACGGTTATCGAAGCGAACTATTATCGAAGCACGGCACTATAAGTTAAACGTAATACTTTTAAACTACCTGAATGTCTTGTGACGATTCCTTATATCTGTAAATAGATAATAATGTAAGATATCAATAATAGAAGTTGGGGAAGTACTAAAATTTGGGTCACTTCCAAGATTCATTTTTCGTCTTAAACTCTCCTTGAATAGGCAAGTCTATATAACTTATAGTCTTAATGAAATTGTGGCCGCCCTGGGATTTGCTGCCAACTACTATGAAATCTAAAATACGCATCCTATGACAATTTTCAAACAGAAAGAAAACTAAGTGTGAATTGTTAAAATGTATTGCATTCAGTTATGGTGTCTTTTTTTAAATATGCGAATGGGGGGATAAGGATGAACTCCACTCTCATTCTCAATTTTGACCCTGCACCTGGTGATCAATCAAAATCAGGCGGGAATGATTATTTACACTATCGTTATGCATGATGGAGAGTGTGTTTCGTTTTTGCTAGCTTACATGAAAAATGTAAATTTTTCTACAGTGAAAATACCACCCCATCATGCTACTGAGGTGTCGAGTTTAGCGCAGTCAGTCATAATGGGAGAAAATCTACAGCATAGCAAAAGACTTCCCTCCGATTAATTAATTAATTGTTCCGAAATATCTACAATTGAATGACTAAATAAACTAAAACTACCTCAATTACTGACTACGATACACTTAAATGGCTTGAAAATGTTCAGTCCTAGCAATGGAAACAATTTGAATTATTTAATCAATCAGACAATACAATCGAACCTAAGCATCAACACAGACTAAGAATAGGTAGTGAAGCAGTCGAACGCCTCGACGAGTATACTGCACAACAGTTTGTTCTCTTTTACTTCATGGCTGTGAAACGCGATCATTAAGGGTAGAGGATAATTGTAAGTTACTAGTATTTGACCACAAACGCCTTAGAAATATTGCTCGCATTTGCTGGGATCACCGGGTAAGTAATAGTGAGGTTTGACACAGGGTATTAAGGTATTAAGGACTGATGGTAAATCAGTTGATGAGATTGTGAATCTTCACCGACTGAAATGATTGGGCCTCGTGTTATGTATGTCTGAATACCGATTACCACGATATGCATTGCTGACTAGTGTTGGAGATGGATGGAAGAAAGTTAGGGGTGGCCAAATCAAAACGTGGCATCAGTCCTTGAAATCACTAACTTGTGGTGTGAGCCATGTTGGTAGATGCAGAGTACTTGATTGGGATCTGTGCGACTATGGTAACCAATGGTTGGAGACCGTGGGTGAAATGGCTGAGAATCGATGATAGTGGAATAGGTGTACACAGTCTTTGTCTTTCTGTAGACTGTGAGGTTGAAATTACTTTAAAGCTTTCTTTTTACGAACTAGTTCTTTCTGTCTGTATCATATCCTTTTATGCAATCTTTCTTCTATATATTCCTACCATTGAAGTAACTACTTCTATGAATGTGATGTCCATCTTGTTGTGCTAATGAGGTGTGGCAACTTTAACCGATGCGTGTATGTGCTTGGTCCTACGTTGTAAGTGACTGACTGACTAGGCATTTAGTGTTCTTCAAGTTTTACAATTGACAGGCTAGATGATTCTGCAGATAAATAAAAGTATTTTACGAATTCGTGTCTTTTTAAATGAATCTCGGTCCTACTTGAGATTGAGTGGGTTTGACTGCATCAGAGTAAAATAGATATAGAGTCACTGAATAAACGGTTGGATACGTCATTTTAAATGGTGTCTTTAGTATACAATCAACATTTCCATTTATTTCATAATCTTTGTAACCAGATTTAAGAAGACAGACTGTACGACGCTTTAATCCTATCATTTCGTATTTTGGTGGATAGCCATCTTCACGAAGACAATAATTAACTATCGTCAATTCCTCTAAAAATAATTCATTCACATTATAGGATAATATTCTATTTAAGGCTCTTTCGTAGACTTTTAATTGATTAATTGATTTTTCATTAGCAAAGAACTTGTATAAGTATTCATACTTTTCAGAGTTGGGTTCAACTAGTTTTCTACTGATAATTCTATTTTTATTTTGTAGCTAAATTCGCAGAATGATCTTAGTTTTTCAAAAAAAACACTAAAAACCAGAAAGCACTGAGGAGCTGTTTTCTAATTGCTTAGATTCAACTTAATAACTGCGAATGAACTGAGCACTGAGTGGATTGTTTCTATTGAATATATAATGATTTATTCACAATATTTCAATTAGTGAAAAATTGAATTTCTAACTTTTCTCGACAAAGTGTAATTCACTTCTTCAGAGAATAAACAAATAACAGAATTAAATATTACTATGCGATGAAACGTTTCCCGCAAATGCCGTGGTACGGCTGAGAGTGGAGAAAATCCGCTCTCCCTCTCGAAATACTCTCACATGGCCACGCGTATATAGCCTCTGTCAGGGAAGTCCTACTCACTGCCTTCTCGTAGCATTACTGTTGTTTACGAAATTGAGAGGCTGAAAAGAGAATGTCCGGCACTTTAATCGGGTTGGTGGACACGAAAATTGCACCTAGGATATTTGGAAAACCCTGATTCCAAACCAATGGTGCACATGGGCTCCAGTATCCTGAGGGAACTAATGGCGTATGAACCAATCGTCGATCACTGGCTACCATGGAATGGCATCTTCTTACGATGCTCCACTGCCTTGTGGATCAGATCTTTAGGTCAAGTGTTCCAGATGTGGCCCCCTAAAAAAATCACCTGCTTCGGTTTGTGTACTCGGGCAGTATTACAGCCCTCACACAAATCAAATAAGATTTGTGTGGCGCATATGTATCTGGTCTTTATTTGTACCAATATTTATGTGCTTAAATGAAATAAATAAATGAAACGTTAGAAATTCAATTCTCTACTCATTAGTTTATTACAAATGGATCATTATTTTTTATTACAGTAAATTTGTGTTACTTTATTAATAGATTTTTACCAACAATAAAGTAGAAATAAAGTATTTTTGCACTAATAACTAAGAAAACATATGACCTAATAAAGGAGTCTTGTGATATTTAGTAAATATTTCAATTTTATGAATGATTATAGTACGTTATTTAATAAGAATGACATAATCATCATTATGTAGCATAACTTTACTGGAAACCTTTTGAGTTGTGTGTAGTGTATAGTTTTACTGAGTATTTATAGTTATTGTGATTGTCTTTGATAACAATGTAACGTTTATATTTTCAGTTACCAATAACAAAGTTACATGCCAATTTAGGTAACCGTTTTCCACTGATTCATTTTAAATCTTGCCCTGTTTTCAGTTCAATTATGATATGACCTGGGTTTCATCCTAGTTGACACTCGTAAGGAAAGTCTACTTGTACCTTTAATGAAACCTACACTCTACGTGGGATTCGAAATCGTACCTCCCAACTTCACAGCATGAGATTTCATAACTGAGATATTTTGATTACTACTAGCCTCCAGTAGGACTGAGATATTTAATCGACCTCTGTGTAGTAACTAATGACAATTATTGTACAACCCATTAAATTTGGTTCACTTCTATTAATCTAGTTTCAGTTTGGCCACAGGTCATAACAGATTGACGTCATAAGCCCTGTTTTTTGTCAAATGTTTAAAAATAATCAGTGAAAAAGCGTAGACCTGCGTTTTAGGTTAGTCAACACAATATTATGTCTTGACATA